TAGTTTGAGATCTTAGGTTCAGATCTTTGATCCATTTTGAGTTGACTTTTGTTAATGGTGACAGATGGGGATTCAGTTTCATCTTTCTGCAGGTGGATATCCAGTTTTTCCAGCACCATTTACTAAAGAGGTTTTCCTTTTCCCAGTGGATCGACTGTTATTCTTTGTCAAAAATCAGTTGGCTGTAAGCTTTGGGGTTTTTTTCTGGAGTCTCTATTCTATTCCATTGGTTTACATGTCTGTTTTTGTGCCAATACCATGCTGTTTCAATTATCACAGCTTTATAGTGTATCTTGGGATCAGGGAGTGATAAGCCTCCCACTCTACTCTTCTTGCGCAGGATTTCTTTGGCAATATGAGGTCTTTTATGATTCCAGATAAATTCTATGATTGTCTTTTCTAGATCTGTGAAGAATATCTCTGGTATTTTGATTGGAATTGCATTAAATATGTAGGTTAATTTGGGTAGAATTGCCATTTTGGTTATGTTAATTCTTCCAATCCAGGGACATGAGATGTCCTTCCACTTCTTTATGCCACTTTCTATTTCTTTTTTAAGATTTTCATAGTTTTCTTTATAAAAGTCTTTGACTTCCTTAGTTAGGTTTATCCTAGGTATCTTATACATTTTGTGGCTATGGTAAAAGGGATTCCTTTCTCCAGCTCTACTTCGTTCAACTTGTTGTTCATATATAGAAATGCTGTAGATTTCTGGGATGTTGATTTTGTATCCTGCCACTTTACTGTATTCACTTATTACTTCAAGGAGTTTTTTCGTGGAGATCTTTGGGTCTTCTAAGTATACCATCATGTCATCTGTGAATAAAGATATTTTCAACTCTTCTTTGCCTATTTGAATGCCTTTTACATTCTCTTTTCTGATTGTATTAGCTAAGACTTTCAGCACTATATTAAAGAGCAGTGGAGAAAGTGGGCAGCCTTGCCTAGTACCAGTTTTTAGTGAAAAAGCTTTCAGCTTTTCCTCATTCAGTATAATGTTAACTGTAGGTTTTTCATAGATGGCTTTTATTGTGTTGAGAAATGACCCTTCTATACCAATCTTACTGAGGGTCTTAATCATGAAAGTTTTATTTTATTTTATCAAATGATTTCTCTGCATCAGTTTAAATGATCATATGGGTATTATCTTTCTTTTTGTTAATACAGTGTATTACATTTATGGTCTTGCGTATGTTGAACCACCCTTGCTTCCTTGGGATAAAGCTTACCTGGTCGTGATGAATAATCTTTATTATATGTTGTTGGGTACAATTTGCGAGTATCTTGTTGAGAATTTTTGCATCTATATTCATCAATGATATTGGTCTGTAGTTTTCCTTTTTTGTCATGTCCTTATCTGTTTTGGGAATGAGGATGATGGAGGCTTCATAAAATGAATTTGGAAGATTTCCTTCCTTTTGAATCTTTAGAAATAATTCGAGTAGGCTAGAGATCAACTCTTCCTTAAAAGTTTTGTAGAATTTAGAAGTGAAGCTATCTGGACCTGGGCTTTTCTTTGCCAGGAGGTTGTTTATTAATGATTCAATCTCCTGGCTTGTTATGGGTCTATGTCCTCCTGATTCAGTCTTGGTAGATTATATGCATCCAGGAATTTGTCCATCTTCTCCAAGTTATCTTGTTTGTTGGCATATAGTCACTCATAGTATCCTCTAATGATATTTTGTATTTCTATTATATCTGTTGTAATGTTGCCTGTTGAATCACATATTTTACTTATCTGGTTCCTTCCTTTCTTCTTGATCAGTCTAGCCAATGATATGTTGATCTTGTTAATCTTTTCAAAGAATCAGCTTTTGCTTTCATTTATTTTCTGTATGGTTTGTTTATTTTCTATTTCATTTTTTTATGCTCGAACCTTTATTATTTCTTTTCACCTGGCGTTTTTGGTTTTGTTGTTGTTGTTTTTCCAGTTCCCTGAAGCATGACGTTAGGTTATCCATTTGCTGCTTATTCATTTCATGCACATTAATTGCTATGAACTTCCCTCTTATGACTGCTTTTGCCATGTCCCATAGATTATGGAAACTTGTGTACTTATTATCATCTGTTTCCATAAACTTTTTGATTTCAGACTTAATTTCTTCAGTAATTAAGAAGTCATTCAGAAGTAGGTTGTTCAGTTTCCATGTGTTTGTGTATTTTCAAAGGTGTTTCTTGAAATTAATCTTGAGTTTAATTCCATCATGGTCAGAGAAGATGCTAAATATAGTTTCTATGCCTTTGAATATGTAAAGGCTTGATTTATATCCAATCATATGGTCAATCTTTGAAAAGATCCCATGCCAGGGTGACAAAAATATATATTTTGTGGTCTTAGGGTGGAAAGTTCTATAGATTGAGCGTTACATTTAGGGGTGAGTGTTAAGCTCCAGTGTGGTGTTTGGGTTATGGTTTGTATTTGGGTCGGGGACAGGGTCAGTTTTAGGATTGAGGTTTAGGGTAAGGGACTAGGGTTAGGGTTACGGTTCTGGTTACGTTAGGGTGAGTGTTATGGATAGATTTAGGGTCATAGCAAGGGTTATGCATGAGGATTAGAGTTAGTCTGGGTTAGTTTGATGGTTTTCATTAGCGTTAAGTTTAGGTCCTGGAGTTAGCATTAGGTTAATGGCTAGGGCTAGGGTTAGGGTTCAGGTTCTGGTGACAGGAGGGTGAGTGTTTGGGTTACATTTAGGTTTAGGGCGAGGGGTAGGTGTGAGGATTAGGGTTATGATCAGGGTCTGGGCTGGGCTTTAGTTGTGGTGAAGGCTGACCTTTAGGTTTAGGAGTCTGGGTTAGGGTTGGAAGATAGGGTCAGGGTTAGTGTGAGGGTTATTGTAATGATGGAATTACAGTTAGATTGAGTGTTAGGTTTTTGAGTGAGTGATTGGGTCATGTGTGGGGTTTGGGTTAGGGTTTTTATTTGGGTCGGGGTCAGGTTCAGAGTTATGGATGAAGTTTTGGGTTAGGGGCTAGAGTTAGGGTTATGGTTACGGTTACGTTAGGTGAGTGTTATGGTTAGATTTAGGTCAGGTCGAGGGTTAGGCATGAGGATTATGGTTACTTTTTGGGTTAGATTGATGGTTGAAATAGTTTTTCATTAAACACTTTGATTATATTTCCCCATTCTTTCCTTGTCTGCATTGTTTCCACCAAGAGGTCCGATGTTATCCTGATGGGGTGACCTTTGTAAGTAACTTGAGATTTTCCTCTTGCCAACTTTATAGTATCTTGTCTTTGTCTGTTGTTTTTGCCAATCTGGCTATGATGTACCTTGGAGAGGATCTTCTTGGGTTGAGTCTACTCGGGATCCTATGTATTTCTTGGGTCTGGATATTTGAATGCCTTTCCAGGTTTGGAAAGTTCTCTTCCAGAATTTCATGAAATAAATTATCAATGCCCTAATTATTTTCTTCCTCTTCTGGAATACCAATTATCTGAATGTTGGGGCGCTTGATGGTATCCATTATTCCTCTTATATTATCCTCATTTTTCTTGGTCGTTTTCTCAATCTTCTTGATACTTTTTTCTAGGTCAGATGTTTTGTCTTCTACTCAATATTCGATCTTCTGCTTCATCTAATCTACTTTCAATACTTTCAAGGGAGGTTTTGATTTCCTTTACCACAGTCTTCAACCCTAGAAGTTCCATCTGGTTCTTTGTGTCTTTCTTCTTTCAAATTATGAAAGGACTTCCTCATCTCCTGGAGCTCCTTGTCTCTTTTCTCTTCCATCTCAGTTAGTTTGGTCACTACAGATATTCTGAATTCTTTATTCGACATGTCTATGAGGTCCATTGTATTTACTGTGGGTGATGTGGGCTTGACGATTTCCCTTGGGGGTGAGGCCTTTTGTTGGTTGCTCATATTTCCTGAACTTCTGTGATGTTTCTAATCATCTGGTGATCTATACATTACTTCCTAACTTATTCAAGATATCTCTGAGCATTAAAAGGTGCACAGGATTAGAAAACTGGTGATCTCACTTCTGGTCTGCCTATCTATTGCTCACCGGTACCATGCACTGTTGTCACTGGTCCTGGGTGATCCAAAGACCACCCTGTTTCTAGGGAGTGGTAAGCCTCCAGCTGACCTAATAATGTTCACCTCAAGAGAAAATATAAAATCGCACAGCACACACACACCAAGCACTATTCAAAACACTGAGATTCTGAGAGTCCAAAGGCAAGTGGGAAAAGAGTGGAGAATGAGCAACAGATCCCAGCTGTTAGGGCCTGCAGCCACAGCCAGCATGATGATGTTCTGCACAGCCACTGGCTTGAACCAGTCTCCAAATGAGGTGGGGAGGGGGTGCAAGTTCATCTTAAAGTCCCAAGAAACAAACCTGTTCAGTCCAGAGACAAGCAAGGGTGAGAATGAGCCACCACGCTTTGTTCTTAAAATGAAATCTCCCGTAGGACAAAAAACTGACTTGCCTTTCTGATTGCAAATTGTCTTTATAGACTTAGGGTTCCAAGGTCATGCTAATGATGTTTCCTAAAACCATTCCAAAAAGTCTGGGGTTTTGATAGCATCTTTTTTCTATGTATCACTTTTTGTATGCACTGTTACTCATCTTCCTAGTACTTTACAGTCTGGATTTTTATTGTAATGTTCTATGCCTACCTATCTGTCTAGCAAGGATAATAGATCCAGGTTTGATCTAGTTGATTTTCAGGGCTGGGTTATGGCTGAGAGTTAATGTTCAATATATCTCAGTGGGAGCTTGGTGGTTAAAGCCACCTGTAACAGCCTCCTGGTCACCTAGTTGTGACATTCTGTCTCTTATGTCCAAGTGGTATTCAAATTGTGAGGCCATCACTATTGTATTATTATTGTTTATGAATGCTTGGGAGCTTTTATTCCTCAAGGGGAAGGGCAAAATGTCCTTCCAATATAAGGACAGTTCAGTGCTATAAAAGCATAATGTTCCACCTAGCACAGAAGGTTTAAAAACAAAAGTCATTGTTTGTAAAATTGAGGTATTTTGTGTTTTCTTTTTCAGCTGACATCCCAGCATCCTTATGCTGAAGTTTTCATTGGCCAGCCCCACGTTTGGACTGTAGACCTCAACAACCAGAAAGAAGTAGAGGATGCAGTGAAAGCAATTTTAAATCAGAAGGTTGTTTCTTTTATTTCACTTTTCCCCATTTGTGCTCTTACTTGAATGTATGGGAAGCATCAAGAAGGGCCCCTGGTCTTAGCGAGTGCAACTTTTCTCCATTAGCCTAACCCTGGAGTTAAAAAATAGTCAGTCTGCAGGATCCAGGACTCAAACTGTGGTCAGCCATAAGGGAATCCAGCACCTTAACCATCATGCCACCTACTGGCAGAGGAGACTGGAGGAGAGCGACTTGCAGTCTGGCCATGCCTCCTGGGGGGTGATGTGTCACTTTCCTTCTCTCTTTCTCCCTCTGTCTATCTCCATCTTTCTTCAGTGAGTGCATGCACTCTGTGGGGGAAGTGGGGAGGCCCAGGCAAACTGTAGGATTTGGCCCAGAGGCTTCTGTTCTGTGAAAGGGAAACAGAGCTGGTGTCCAGGAGAGAGCATGGATTCCACAGACCCTTTGACTAAGGCTCCTGGGTCTAGTCATAATAGTAGAAGCTGGAATTATACTTGCCTCAGTGATCCAATTATGTCATTCTCTCAAATGTCTGGAAAGATAGGCATGCTCGTGTACAAACAGAGCTAAAATTAAGGAATAACGAAGGAAATATTGAGAGCTGGGTTTTTTTGTTTTGTTTTGTTTTGTTTTTTAAGGCTCATTCATTGTTTTGAAAGAGAGAAAGGAGGAGAAAGAGAGCATAATGTTCCAACAGGACCCCAACAGGGTCTTCATACCACAGTCCATACCCCTCCCCACCTCAGCCAGCTGGATCATGAGCACACACCATGCATGCACAGGGAGGTTCTCAGATGTGAACCTGGCATCTTCCTGGTTCACAGGACTCTGCATTATTACTTCTCCATGAGCCAACCCAGTACATGTTTTTATAGAGCATCTCTTTATCTGATTTTCCACTTAAACATTTTGTAGGAGCTCATAAGAATAGCAGCTCTGCACTCTTCTGATCGCGTAAGTAGATAATTATTAAGTTCCTACAGCACGTGGAACACCCTGAGCCACTCTGGGAGATGCTCATCTCCATGCACGCACAAGCCTGGCTTCCCTCAACCTGTGGAGCTCACCACCTAGCAGGGATAAGTTATGTCCTCTCTCTCCCACCCTGAGACTGCTTCAGACCTCCAGTGCATGCTGCCCTGGACTTCCAGTGGGCACCTTTTATACCCAGTTACAGCATTCTAAGAGGGGCCGTGTAGGTGTGCTGCGAGGCAGCCTAAATCTGACCACTCAGGTTTGTATTCCAGCTCTGCCACTTCCTAGCAGCATCCTGTCATCTGTGATGTGGGGCTGACATGACCTGTTTCCTTGGTCATGTGGTCACATGATCTCACTAAATGGAATCTCATCTGTTTATAATGAAATCTCATTTAGTGAAGTCAGCCCTGTGTGTTGCTCAAGTACAATGTCTACCACATAGTGTTTAATTTCTTCTAGATTGTAAGCAACATGAGAGCTAGAAATATGGGTGCAGTTTTCAAAAAGTTCATGAAAAATGTTTATGTATCTGAAAAAACTGACTCAATATTTAATTTATCTACTTGCACCAAATAAAGTTGTACTTTAATTTCACTTTTCCATGGGCAGTTTGAAGTCCCCCTGTATCTCTGTCTAGCTGCTGTATTCCCAGGAGCCAACGTAGTGATTTCCCTAATGGATGGATAGGAGGGAGGGAGAAAGGAGCAGATATTTGCAAATAAGCATAACACAGGCAGAATATGTCCAGCACCAAAAGCAATATGCAGAGGTCCTGGGAGTAGAAGTCAGGATGACTTTCTGGGTAGGCAAGCACTTGAGTTGCCTTACAGTAGTAATGTACAAAGCAAAACTGAAAAGTGGGCCCAGCAGATCAAGGGTTCCAAGGCATGGTGTGAGTAAAGGAGGAGGTCTGGAAAGGCACATATTCTCTGAGGAAAGGCCAGTGCATCCTTGTGAAGGCTCATCTTTTTCTTTGGGAAACAGAATGGGGTAACCAATTTGAGGCCCACTGAACC